TACTGAATTCCTGAAAATAAAGAGGTGGGTTTAATAGACTTATGTGTGGTGATAGGATGTATTGATGATATAGACTTGTCGAGCAGATGCAAACCGTGACAGAAACTATTATTTTAGACTCGTTGGGAATCCTCCATCACCACATATATTGATCTAGACTTTCACTTATTTGATTCTATAAACCGTTCTTGGCATACCTGATATTTATTCCCGTGGTCTCTTATATTTTTTTACAGTATTATCTATTGATTGATGAGAATGCTGTGTTATTTAGCAACTCAACATAGTTGAGCAGCCTTACATTGTTAATGTATTTCTCTCATGTAAAGTATTTTGCGATCTAAGTGAGAATGTGGAAATCATACAATGTGGAAAATTTTTAAACTTAACGATCACGCTTAAAATGTAATGTTCATAGTTTTAAATTTTTTTTAAACTAAAGTATGTTTCCTACAACCTTTTAGTAAATTGCGAATTAACTGTTGTGTTATTGTATTGTATATTTTGTATTGTATATTGTATAGTTTAAATAAATGTTTGGAAATGTGTTGAGTTCAAATATTCAATACAGTGTAAATGTTTCAGCCAATGTTTTCGATAGAAATCTATGTGGCTTATTTTAATCAACTATGCTCAAATTAGCGATATGTATTCATTATAATAATTACGCTTTATTAAATAGCTGGTGTTTTTGACAGCACTAATCAATTCATATAACGTCCGTCCAACGAGCTTTATATATCCGCTACTGCATTCAATGGTATCACGCATTCGAATTTATTACTACAGATTTGAGGTCACCAATTTCAATAAAACTTTCTTTGTTGATACTAAGTCGGAAATTATTGGTTCCATGTTTCAGGAGTCTTGCCATATTTATTAATATGAATTTCTTAGTTGAAATATATCAATTGATATGTTTTTTGTTTACAAAAAAGACATATTGCTGCTTGTATTAAACAAATTCAAAAGTATAATAAATTACAATAACATGGATGCTTTAAGTAAAATAAGTCAAAATTCAATAAGTTAAATAAAATAAGTCAAAAAAGAAATTTTTTTCATGAAAAGTAATTTATATCCCTCATTATCGTCCACTAAAACCCTTAAACACGAATATCAAAACCATATTAATAACTTTATTTTACATCTTTCTGAGAAATAAATAATACAAAACTCGCCTGCCATTTTTAAATTATCATAATCTTTGTGATTTGCGAAAACAAATTGAAAAAAAAAAAACAATCAATACTCCGATATTTTTCGATGAAAATTCTTATTTCGGTGTGCGAAATACAAATCTCGCCTTGCTTCTCATTCAAAAAGATATTTTAACCTGCGGCTGAAAATAATACTGACGAATAGTACGAATTATTTCAATATTTAACTCAAACTATAGGTATACGCCAAATAAAAATATATTGTATAAGCCCAAAGGGTATCGAAAGTAAGATTATATGCACAAATCTAGGTAAGTTGTCGCTTTTTGAAACTAAGCCAATTCCACACTTCCACTGTCAGAAAGATTTTATTCAGCAGTACAATTCCTTAAGAACTTACTTATATGTGTAACAGAAAATCAATACCCACCTTAGAACCAAAAATCTCCCAAAACGATGCTCCGTCTCTCACGATTACTAAAAAGTATAAAAAGCAATACCTTACCTTCTGAGTACAACACCGAATTTTTCCTTCTCCTACAAAATACCCCAGAACTCTTATTAATTTATACTGACGGTTCAAAATTTTGATGATGCTACAGCTTCTTCGTTTATTACTCATATTTCGACACATAAAATAAAACTTCATAAATTAAGCAGCATATACTCAGCAGAAATTCATGCAGTAGCCTCGGCCCTCCACTTCTGTACTACAATAACATAAACAATCGTCTTAATAATCGACTCCTTGAGTTCATTAAAATGTTTAAACGACATATACTCAAAACATCCAGTTATCCTAAAAATACACAAGTATCTTCATATTCTTGAAAATTTGGGAAATTCTATTTGGTTTATATGGGTTCTTAGCCTTGTGGGAACAGTTGATAATGAGCTTGCGGATACGTAGACCAAACAAGCACTCACGCTCCCAGGCCCTGGTACTGTTACTCTGAGCCTCCAGAAATGAGTTTTCCTCTCAAAAAGGAAATATTGGACAGTTTGAAATCTACGTGGAACGAAAGTCCACCTAGCCAATTAAATGTTGTTAAAAAATCAGTTAAGCCTTGGCCCACATCAAACCGTACCACTCGCAGAGAGGAGGTCGCAGTGACTAGGTTAAGAATAGGCTATACAAATCTAACTCATTTACATCTCAATATTAAAGAGCCACCAAAATGTCAGCCATCTAACTATCAGTCATATTTTTCAGGAATGCCCTTATTACACCTCAAGCTTATTAACAGATTACCTCTGGGACCTAATATATCAGTAGTATTAAACAATGACAAATCAAACATTAAAACATTTCGTAAAATCCATAGACTGTAAATTAATAAAGTATATAAATAAATATGATTTTTATTTCATTGTATTTTCTATTTTTATTTATTTCATTTTTCGTATGTTCTTAAATATCTTTCTTGTATTATTCTATTTATTACTTTCCTACCTATACTAGGTAAGGAAAGTATTGCAATCGAGTCAAATTCCCGACATGCGGTTTTCGACGGATCTATACGTTTCAAAGCCCCCTGAGTCCGAAAAACACATTTTTAGCCATTGGTGGTAGCCATTTGTGCCAAGATTTCCTCGGGAACTACTGAACCGATTTTGGTGTTTCTTTTTTTATTTTGTAGGGTTTTGACTACTGATGCCTGTGACAGAAATTCGGTGCTCCTTGCGCAATAGCTTAAAATAAATAAATGAAAAACATGTTTTTCTATAGATTGTAGCGCAAAACCGGCTCTAACGATTTTGATGAAACTTTCCTGTAATGTTCTAATCATTGTTCTTTAAATTTTCGTATATAGACTAAATTCCTGAAATAAATCAGGAAAAAGTTATAAATAAAAGAAAAATGTTATGGAGCCTTACTCCTTAAGTGTATATTATACGGTAAATTTTATAATAAAACTTTTGAAAGGTAATTAAACTACCAACAAAACATAGAAGTATTGAAATTTTTACACTGATCTACCTTAAACCGGATTACATTGCTTTAGTTTATCATATAAATCGTACTCAAATCTTATGTTTGATCAATTTTCAGGAAAATGTATCTAGTTTAATTCTTTTTTGTTTCTTCATGAACATATGTAAAGATATAACAACTTTTCCGAAATAGGTAGGAAAGTCTTGTGAGTGGACACATCAGATATTTTATTATTAGGTTTTGATTATTTATTCTTTTTTTTTTTTTTCTCTTCTAAGAAGTTTCTGAGCTTAACATACAACCAAAATAACTGACTCACAGGCGTTGATGACCCTAGATTTTTACGCCTTAAAGCCCAAACAAACAAACGAACAAAGATCCTTTGTTTTAATTTTAGACCCCGTTAACAAATTACAACTGGATACATAAAATAAAAACCATTTGAGAAATTCTTCTCGATTTATTCATCATAAAGGAGTAAAATCTAAAATCAATAATTCAGTTTTAATGTTTAGCAGTAATGTTTAGTTTAATAAACGTCATGAAATAAAAATCCTCCCAATATATCAAGTCCATTAAACATCCAATCGAATGTAAGAATTTTATAGGACGCTATTAATAAATCTGAATTTATTTGTCATAGAAAATCTTTTTCAGATTCATTATTAGCCTCCTATAAAATTCGTAATTACGACCGGGTTCTTAATGGATTTCATTTTATGGGAGGATTTTTGTAGTCGGTTATCACACGTCCGTAACCTCTCTTTGTTAGTGAGTGTATGCAGTGTAGAATATCTTAAATCAACATGTTTTTATACGCCGGTGGCATTTTTAATCTTTTATTAACTTTGTAACTGCACTATGCGACATATTTAGGAAAAGTTTTGTCGATCCTTTGTAAGGACTTACTTGATAATGGTCCTGTAAAGCACACTACGGTATACCTGTCTGTAATGGACTTTTGCAATCGGATAGAACTTATCTTAGTATTTCTGTCTAGAAGATAGACGATGAAATGTAGTGATGTTGATTAATCTCTCGTTTTGTAATTGATAAAAGGGTGGTGAGTCTAAAGATGAAATTTGATAGTATAATCTGATAAGTTCATGCCTTATAATATTTGTATGTACTCCAAGTGCGACTTTTGTTTAAGTATTGTCCGATCAAACCTTTTGCCGATCGTTATGGTAACGTTGACTTTTCATTTGTGTAATCACTTCTCAAGCTCAAATGAATGTTACTAATGAGAAGTAGATTCAACAGCATGATTTCTTTGAAAAAAATATTATTGTATCGTAAGTAGTACTTTAGGTAATGTTGAGTATAAATAAAACCAATGAGGATAGAAAAAACTGATTTATGCATATTGTTATGAATTAAACTTTATATTAATTTAATAACATCATTGATTCAAAATTACAAAGTCATTTTCATTTTGTTAAATTTCTTTCTAATCCTTCCTATATATTTTAAATAAGTAAATAAAAATAATATGTTAGAAAATTTAATAGAAGTAGAGTCTTAGAATCGACTTTTGTTTTGTATACAACAGTTGGGACATTTCAGTATGAATAGAAAAACGTACATAAGTAATTACTATTTTTCTTTCTACTCACAGTGGAATGTCCTTGAATAAATAGTAATAAAATAGTTTAATTGCAACAGTAGAAAATAAATACTTCGATATCAATAGGAAAAAATAAATGCGTTAGCAAAGGATCAAAAGTAAAGAGTTAACAGACTAGGATATGATGTTCAAGTTTATTGGAATAGTTAAAAATACACACAAAAAAATGCTTTAAAATATTTATAAACAGAACATGAACGTGTAATAAATATTTAAGTTATTAAATTACAAAACTATGGACAGCTCCATTTAGATTTTTAATAATGATTATTACAAATTAACCACTTTTACTTCCCACCATTTTTCCACGTCCCATATAGTCACCTTGCTTCATGCCTCGTCCTGCCATCATTCCACCTCTGCCCATCTTGCTGCCTCCCATCATTCCACTTCCGCCCATCTTTCTGCCTCCCATCATGCCACCTCCGCCCATCTTGCTGCCTCCCATCATTCCACCTCCGCCCATCTTGCTGCCTCCCATCATTCCACTTCCGCCCATCTTGCTGCCTCCCATCATGCCACCTCCGCCCATCTTGCTGCCTCCCATCATGTTGCCTCCCATCATTCCACTTCCGCCCATCTTGCTGCCTCCCATCATGCCACCTCCGCCCATCTTGCTGCCACCCATCATGCCACTTCCGCCCATCTTGCTGCCTCCCATCATTCTACCTCCGCCCATCTTGCTGCCACCCATCATGCCACTTCCGCCCATCTTGCTGCTTCCCATTATTCCACCACCAGGTAATGCTAAGGCCATGGCTAAGAGGCAAACTCCGGTCAAATAGAATACCTGTAAATTGAATTATGGAGTAAGAATTTTTTTTTTAATATCAATCCGAAATTTGGCCATTCTTAATAAAAAAATTATCGATCTACTTTAAGAATCTTTTTTTTTTTTTTTTTGAGTTTGCTAAGGGTTTATCTATTTGTAATTTTATGTTAAACTTAAAAAATCGAAGACCAATCACATGTTTATTATGTTCTATGCCAATAATAAAAATGTTTAATAATTAAGTGCCCGTAATCGATATTTTTTATAAATTTTTAATGTAAAATAATGTTCGGCTGATATATATTAAATATTTCAAAAAAATAAATAAAAGATTTCTTGATACGGTAAAATCATATTTATAACATTTCTACTCACTGAGTACAGCTTCATGTTTCTGTTATGACTGATGGACGTATCATACTTTTGTATAAAGTCTTTCCAGTATTTATATTCGGTAAAACGGCGACGTCACTGAAATAACTACTTCACTTGGTGAGAGGGGGGTTAGTTTAATTAAGACCAAGGCTTACAATTATATAGTTACGTACAATATCTATGAATATTTGTTTCTTCGATATAAGCTTTTATTTTGAATTTATATATTTTTATTTTTTTTATTCCGTGTAATGTAGCTTGAAAATACACCCTTTTTTATTTTACATGTTTCATCGAAGTTTAAATCGAATTCTAATCAATAGCTTTAATTAATCCTATGATATTAATCAGATTATTTTGTTTTACAAAATAAAAGTATTGCGATTTTTAAAATAAGTAAAAATTATTATTTCATTAATAATAAATGAACTTCTTTAAGCATTTCCATCTAAATTAAAATATTTTCTGTCTACGCCATATATTTATATTAATATTTATATTATACGATTTACATATAAATAGGCATATATTATTTTATTTTATCTTAAGCAAATTTTAATTTTTATAATTTTTATTATTGATCAAAAATATAATATGTTCGAATACATTCTTAACTTTAAATTAATTTTCATCACAGCATTCATCTAAAGCTTGGATACAGAAAGTAAAAAATTATAACAAAAAATACTGAATCTAAGGGACCCTTTTAGAGCTTTCAGATACTCCATATAATAGACTACTATCAGTTTATATATATATATATATATATATATATATATATATATATATATATATATATATATATATTGTTTTAATCAAAATAAATATACAACATGTGTTCTATTGGACACCAATCAATTACAGACTACCCAAAAATTGAGAGATTTGTTAATGTTGCAAAACCCATTGTTACAAGCACTAGATACACTTTTTTTGTTTATATGTTTTCAATTAATACATAGCTAAAACTTTTCCATCATTGTGTACTTCTTTCTTGAGTTTACAAGGTAGATATTATCTGATCAGAAATATTATCTTATGCTTGATTCAAGGAAAGGAAATTCCTTGTAAAGGGAATTGGTAGGAAAACTCACCATTTCTAACTATATGAAATGAATTGAAGTGATTCCGAAGGATGTTGGTTTTGATAGTTGACAACCGAAGTCAAATCTAAACATCAGAGTGCGCCAGATGACAACACATTACTATCATAAGAGAAGGAAAAAATAATTGAAAATAAATATTTAACTTTGTGTGTGTTTATATATATATTATACATGTACATAATCAGATTAAGGAAAATGACATCAAATCGAAAAAAATTACATCACATATTATTGTCATTTCGAATAGACACGTATCCCTCAGTTTTTATAAATAAATTCCTCAAATGGACACAGTATGTTTTCATAGAAATACATTCGACAGATAAATGACCTGATCCTCACATGTCAAAATGAAAATAAATTACTTTAAAAATCATGCATTGAAATTACTGCACATATTTTTTTTTTCCAAATGGTCAAAACTGAAGATTGGATAGACATTAAATACATCCTCCTAATTACTTAAACTCATATAAACATGCGCTTTACAGAGTGACTGTTCAGAAAAACACTACTATATTTTCATCTAAAATATTAAGACTAATAACAGACGATCCAATCATAAGCACTCTTTATTCCCGCTTCTATCATGAACTTCACGAACAAAACAACAAAATATTAAACCATGCCATTCAGAAGGTGAAAAAAAGGAGCTAGGTGAGAGACCTCCTTTCGTGAATCAAGGGACTAGATGAAGACCAGAAAGAAGTGCCTTTGAGTACATACTTTCCATTGTCAGCACATTTGGTTATTGTCACTTTAGTCAGTGACAGGTGTGAATGATAAATAAAAAAAATATACTAGTATCAATTTTAAATTTATTAAAACAAAATTAAATAAACATGGGATTGAAAATACTTTATATTACTTTTAATTTTAATCGAACCAACTCTAATACATATTATGACAGCTATTTTATGGATACATGAAGCAATTTTTATGCGTTAACATTCAACATAAATATGTTTACTTACTGGTTATTTTTTAGAGTAATAGGACGTATTATGGTTGACACTCGAAAATTTATAGAAAAAATAATAACGAACATTCATTACGAATAAATGATTTACATCAAATAAATACACATATATTATTTTTAATATAACATTATAATCCTCCGTGTTAATAGAGCTTACTCTCCCTCCGGAATAGATGTATGTAATTGTAATGACGTCAGACCTTTTCAGAATATAAATACAGGATGGATTTTAAACAGCGGTATGATTTCTCAAACAGCAACCCCAGAAGCATGAAGCCTTTTGTAGTGAGTATAAAACCAATAATTTAATACTTTTTTCATAAAGTTTTAAATTAATAAGAAAATTTATATTTAAATAAATATGTTTATTTTTCGGACCAGATAAGATACAATATTAAAAAAATTGAAAGATATTTACATTTTAATGGCCTACAAGTGCAATAATATTAATATGCTTCATAACTAATGGCAAGTAATTATTTCTAAGTCCTGAAAATTTAGAAAAAAAAAATACATTTATCTTTAATGATTTACCTTTATTTTTCATGAAAAGGTAAATTATAACTAATTTTCTACTTCTAAAGAAAATATATTTTTTTTATATTACTATCATCAGCTATTAATTATTTTTTATAAAATATTAATCATTAAGCAGCTTAAAATCTGAATTTATACCAAAACTAAGCGATTTTCATACAATTAATGTTTTATTAAATGATTCATTTTTTTAACGTTTTGAAATTTAATTGTAATTACTTTTGAATTTATTCCTTACTTAAAACTGTGATTTAATTATTTGAAAATATTTGCTTGCATATTTAAAACGAATGGTAATTTTAACTCCACTGTTTGACTTGCAGGTAACCTTTCTGTTTGTGGTTTGCCTGATGGCAATAACCCTAGCATACCCTGGGGGAGGAATGATGGGAGGCGGCAAAATGGGTAAAGGTGGCATGATGAGAGGAGGCATGATGGGAGGGGGCAAAATGGACGGAGGAGGCATGATGGGAGGCGGCAAAATGGGAGGAGGCAAGATGGGTGGAGGCGGCATGATGGGAGGAGGCAAGATGGGTGGAGGCGGTATGATGGGAGGAAGCAAGATGGGTGGAGGCGGAATGATGGGAGGAGGCAACATGGGTGGAGGCAGAATGATGGGAGGAAGCAAGATGGGTGGAGGCGGCATGATGGGAGGAGGCAAGATGGGTGGAGGCGGCATGATGGGAGGACGCAAGATGGGTGGAGGCGGAATGATGGGAGGAGGCAACATGGGTGGAGGCAGAATGATGGGAGGAAGCAAGATGGGTGGAGGCGGCATGATGACAGGAGGCAAGATGGGTGGAGGCGGCATGATGACAGGAGGCAAGATGGGTGGAGGAGGAATGATGAGAGGCAGCAAAATGGGTGGTAAAAGCGGATAAATTATGAGTAGCAACGTCTGAACGTCATTTACCATTAAAAAATACTAAACATTATGTGATTTAATGCTTAATGTGATTAGTCAAATGATTATGTTCCTTTACTTAGTATTATTTAATTTTAAACATTGAGATAAAATATTTTTTTATAAATATGACAATGTTATTTTTTCAACAACTTTTGCCTATTCACTAGTATAGCCTTTATCTATTTTCTATAAATATGTCAGATTATAGGATAAATATTTAGACTTCTATATATGACGTTTGACTCAACCTTTTGTACATTTTATATAATATATTAGATTTCATTATTTACCTACTCATTTTGTATTCTGGAATGATAACTATCATTTAAATCGATTATTGACATAAATAAACTAATAGAAAGATTTTTCCTATCTTTTGAATTCACCCCGATTCCTATACCAAATCACTATAATATCCTATATATATCTACATCCGATACAGAGACCATTATTGTGCTCCAATGTTTGGGTTGACAGTTCAATTAGCCATAGTTGATAGTCCCATGAATCAACATTGCAAATTGCAATCATGGACTCTATTCGGCTATTAGCAGCTGCCTTCCCCTGCGATAGCTTACTTACACGGTAGCTTCTAAATCCGAGGGTGTAGGATTTGAAGACTGAAAGGAAGAGAATAATGCTTCATTGACAACAGTTTGTGATAGTAAAATTACTCCGGTACATATTGCGTCCCTCATTTCTCAATTATACTTTAACTGTTTTATTATTTTTATAAAGAAGATGGCTTCGTGATCTCGTCATATAGACATATTATTAGAGAGGATAGTCTCTTCAGCAAGCATTTTCATGTGATTACATTCCTGTATACACATTTACATGATGTATTTATATTGTAACACAGCTGTAAATATCTTGAATAAAAAGATAAAAATTATTTTTATAAATCTGCAGTACTTTTATTTTTAAAAACACATTAATTTTGTAATTATTATCCGCTAAATCAATTAAATTAGATCTGCAAGTATCGTTTCCGCTGTGTTTAGCATCGGCTTTAGGATTTTTCATTAAAAAAAAAAAAAAAAAAAAACTGTTATGTCGCAATCTTTCCAATTTATTGCTTCCCCAAAATTGAAAGTAGAGAATCTTTGTATTTTTGAAGTTGAACAAATCGTTGTCCTAAGAACTGAAAATGCCCTCCCATGTATTAAATATTAAACATCAAAGAACAAGGTGCCTGATTGTATGTATTCAAATCCGTGTGAGTGGTATGACACCTAGTACCGTCAATCTGATATTAAAGAAAGATTAAGGATCCACCAATGCAGTCATCTGCACAATTTTCTCTCAATCTTGGATCAGCATTCCTGAAGCTATATGTACTTCAGCCATTGTCTAAACATCAGTTCCAGTTCCCATCACTGTTAATCAGTCTTAAGTACTTGTCGTGTTGATTCTATCTATCCCTTTGCTTTTTGGCCTTCCACGTGGTCTTTATATATATATATATATATATATATATATATATATATATATATATATATATATATATATATATATCACAAAATTTTGTACTTTTTGAGTCATTCACAAAGAAAATTCTGAATTCATTGTAACATTTGTTTCAGCTTCTTTCTAAAAAAGTAATTTATAAACATAAATTAAAAATACTGCAAGGAGAACACTTTATCCACGTTTCATTAAAATATATACTGCCGTATTGGCGCTACAATTGCCAGGTATTTCAGCCACCATTTCGAAACGAAAGGCCGTAAGGATTGTAATGAAATTTATATAAAAACACTCCTGGCTTTGATTTAAACCTGATATTAACATTTCAAAACAATCAGTGAAGAACTTTCGTAGATTACTGGTTTTAAACTAACTGATATTTAATTTTTTTTTTATACACACTGTTTCCATTTTGCTTACTCACTACCAAATGTAGGGAAGCATTTTGTTCGTGCGAGAGGTTAAAAAAAAAATTGTGCTCAGAATCAAAATTTTCCACTCGTTTTTTTACGTTTCAGGCATCAAGGATCAAATTTGGTTCGGTGTCTGCAGTCAAATCGATGTGACGGGCATATATCCTAGTACCGTTGATCCGATTTTCATGGAATTTTCAGGTGTAATTGATTCCTAGATGGTTCCATACCAATTTTGTTCAATTCCATCCAAACTTCCGGTCACGCACGCGCAAACTTATTTTTTTTTAGATATGCCAATATTTCAGAAAGGGTTAGTTCAATTCCGCTCAAAGCTAGATAAAAAGTAGGTAATAGAGAAAAAATAATGTAATGTCAATTTTATTGAATTCTGCTGACTTATTTCTCGTATATATGAGCAAACATGTTTTCCTTGATATGTCTATATCTCTAAAACCGCATTTGGCTCAAATTTGGAGGAAAGTTAGGGATTGGTAAATAGGTAATCAAGTAGGTATACATTTTATCAAATTCACATCTGCTAGAAAAAATACTTTCGTTTCGGATCAGCAAACGTATTATTGGGCAAGCCTATACCTTTAAAACTGCGCGTTCAATTTGACCCAAACTTGGAGGAAATTTGGAGAATAGCAATTTCATAATATAAATTTCTTTGAATTACATTTAATAATTATAATTAATATAAATAATTGTTAACAATATAATGGCAGTGAAATGTGAAAGGCACTGATCATATGGAGCGGGAGTTATCTTATGACAATATTTTTATGTGGTTATAAAATTTTAGGTTTTATTCAAACAGTTAATTTATACTGTATTGTTTCGTCGATTCAAAACGTTACTGGCATGACACTTACTGCCGTTACTTAGATTTCATTTAATTTTCAATAAATTTAAATTAATTTTTACTCTGAGTTTGTAAAAAAGAAAAATCTTATTTGTGTTTATTTCTATTGAAGGTCAACCAGCTCGTCGTGGTATCAAGTTTATGTGTGATTTTTATATTCCAGCTTAAATAGTTATGTTCGGACTGAAGAAAAGTATTGGTCTAGTTAACTCTGAAAAAACAAAAAGTTTACGTTTTTCTTATTTCTCTTATAGAGTTTTTGTAACATCGATTTTACCTGTGCAAACATGCTGATTAAGTAGAAATTACTACTGGTGATATGAAAGGTCGTATGTAAAAATGTTCAACTTTTAATTCTATTTGTGCTAAAGATAACATTTCGTATTCTGTAACTGATATAGGCATTTTGCTACGATGAAAAATTGCTGAGCGCAATAAATTATAAAATTACACTAATAAATTATAAAGAAACAATTAGTTTTTATGCTTTCCTGTAAAATACTCAATGTTTACATACGACTTTTTGCACTAACAGTAGTGATATTCATGTTTTAATCTAGATTTTTTTTTAATCCCCAGACATCAAATATGCAATCTGAATATGCGGAACTCTTTCGCATTATAGTATTCGCTGATTAACAAAACTCGTGGATATCAAATAGAGGGATTACTGAATTTCCGAAAACGGCGTCTCCCAGGGTATTTATTCCCATACGAAAAATGTTATACCTTGCAATATAGATATTTTTTATCCAGTGCAAACGGTGAGGAAGCTATACTGACCTTACTTGGCAGACGTTTTTTTTTTATTGATAACACCAAAGCTCATCAGTAGCTACTTTATTTATTTATTTTTTTTATATTTAACTTATTTATTGAAAAATATTACAATCTGTCTGAAAGGACATTTATAATAGTGTTCAGAGATCACATTCACACTCTATGTACAATAAATAAAATCAATTATACAGAAAAATAATATATATACAATAAATAGGAATAAAATAACCTAAAAATAAATAAATAAAAAGAACACTTACAAACCTATATACACTATTTACAATCTGGCGAGAGAACTCCGTGCCAGATTTGTCCCTCCAACTGTGGAGCGAAAAGCATGATTCCAGGAGATCCTTGCAGGACTTCCCTCTGAACCGCGTCACTGGGGCTAAACCCACTGGAGATTGAGCAAGAGTGCTTTAGCCACATACACTCATGTCGTGAATGAAGAATCTGGCCATTGGAAGAGCTCCAATATTTACAAACTATAAAAGGTCGCGGGATCACTGCCGTTTTAATCTTCTTGAAGCATTATAGGGATGGGTGGTGATGGATAGGAATTGAGCAAAAGGATTTGGATGATGGGTAAGGTTCTGGTGAAATTTGGAGAATTTTGCTGGGATAAGGTCTAGTACAAATGGGATGTTAAGGTCATGGTGTAGGGTTTTGTTGGTCCATATAAAGGAGCATCGGCTATTGTTCGAAGGACTTTGGATTGGAAGAATTGGATGCGTTTGATATTAGAAAATTTTGCTGTTCCCCACAGTTCAAGTCCGTAAGTCCAAGTAGGTTTCAGTTTTGTCTTGTAGATAAGTATTTCATTTTCAATAGAGAATTTAGATTTTCTATTTAGAAGTATGTATAGTTGGCCGTATCGTCGGTTAAGTTCTCTTGCCTTTTAAGTCTAGAATGAGGGTTCCACGTTAGTCGTCTGTCTAAGACAAAGCCAAGGTACCAGACTGTATCTGAGAAAGGAAGCTGGATGGAATTAAAGTATACTGGTGGGCAGGAACTGCGTCGGAGTGTAAAAGTAATGTGTTGGCATTTGGATTCATAACCAGTAGCTACTAAGCAAAAAAAAAAAAAAAAAAAAAACGGATGAAAAACAAAGGAGAAAAATTGACTAAACCGTTTTGTCTTTGCCTAATTATATGAAAATATTTAATTCTATAAGAGTTTTAAATAATAAATAAAAAAAGACAGCTATAGAAAGACAGTTATCATAATTAAATTTTCATAGATTGTAAGGTTCGGTATTTTGACACTCAAATTTTCACACGCCTTTATCTCAAAAAAGGCTTTGCTTTGGACCTCTGCGTTGGAGGTTAGTAACATTAGTCAATAACATAAGAAAAATGGAAGCCATTGTAATGCAGAAATTTGAAGTATAAGATTTTCTTATGCATGGCCATTTGGTACAAGAAAGGCATTATTTCCGTTATA